CAGGATCATTACAAACGTGTGTGAGGGGGGGTGCGCCTCGTATCGATCTGATCGGGAAGTTCAATAACCATTTATCTGCTTCCTCCTCTGAGGGATGTTCCCATATTCAAGAGAAGAAGCAGAAATATCCACCACACACACACACAAGCCTGTAGGATTAACCACCATTAATGTGGGCTTCCCCATCTGCTCCTTTTAGTCAAAACTATAAACTCTTTTCCTGATGAAACCTCGGCTTTGTCATCTTATATTCTTTATATTTTATTCTTCCTTGGTAATCCAGCATCTCAGAGCTTCTGTTTTACAATTTGTTTATTTGTTGAGCGGCTCCATTCTGTGCTGCGGACTCCATCCTTTTTGTTGACTTGATTTATTTGGATGGGCCTGTCTGCCTCATGATTTGTTTTGCATCAGATCAAATAAGTGATTAAAGGCACACAAGATAAGTTCACAGGTCACACAAATAGCTGCATTCTTCAAAGATTAGATTCTTTAATTATTATTTTTTTATGGAAATCAATGCAGTCAGAGAGCAGAATGATTCTCTCTAGAACAATACATTTGATTTAATCATACATGAAACATTTTCCTCTAATTCCCTAAATCTGACTTGTGGTATCCCAAGGATAAAATGAAAATTTCACTCATATGTACAGTATGTTCACATATCTATGACATAGAGAAAACGGAATTCTTAGATTTCTAGGATTATGTTATAATATTCGAGAATAAAGTCATAATTGAAAAGAAAGTTGTATTATTATATAAAGCTATTGAATGAGAAAAATCCATACCATTAAGAGATTAAAGATAAAGACTATTATATATATTATACATACATTTACAACTTTATCCAAGTAATATTACAATTTAAATTTCATAAATACAACTTCAACTTTTTTCCTCACAATATTAAAACTGTATTCTCATAAATGTCTGTTTATTTTTGTATTATTACAACTTAACTCTGGTGATTTTCTCCTTTATTAATGTTAAATTACAAAAACTATAGAAGCCCTCAAAGTACATTTCCCCTGTTCAATTTCTCCTGTTTGCCTTCCTAAATATATAAGTCCCATTCTTGAGACAGTTTAGCTCGTAAATCAAACTCCCTGAAGGTTTGTTCCAGCACCGGTTCTTAAACTCCTCTTGGCGTGTCCCTGTAGGTTGGGACAGACATCTGCCAACTACATGTCCCTGCAGTCTCAGTGCCATTAGCTTCATTTAGTCTTGCTATTTGTCTTTTTAATGTGCTACTCTGCACAAAATCCATCCTATTACAGTATCCGGTTCATGTTAGGGGAGTTTAACCAAAAATGGTTATCAGCATAACAAAATATAATGCGAGGCACAGCTGTCTGCTGTCTTTCCACTTTTATGTCATGAATGTATGAAAATTGCTTATTTTCATTTTAGGGCACCATCTTTTTGTTGTGCCTATGTACTTCTTCTGTGTTAATGATTTTTAAATGCCAAATAGACGTGAAGACCATCTCTCAAAGTTTATCACACGTCTTCAGCCGTGACTCGAAAGTGGTCCAGAGAGAGGAGCTGACTTTGTAATCCCTGCCATCTGTTGTGGAGATCAGATCCCACTGTATGGCGACCTTTATGTAGGCCACCCTCCATCCACACACACACACACACACACACACACACACACACACACACACACACACACACTCACAAGGGGAAAGATTGGCAGCGTCTAATTCCATCAAAATCTCTGTCCGTGGACCCATTTTCCCCTCCCTTCCATCTTGGGTCATATTAAGGAAGAGGAGGGAGGCTGTCAGACGCGACATGCAGAGTAAACCAATGTCCCCGCCGATAGACCAAGTTCCTCATGGACCTTATTTAAGCCCGTCATCATTTTTGACTTCATATATGAAATAACATACCTACAGACATCGCTTTACTCCCCCTTACCTATGACAAATATTCAAGTGCCCCTCTGAGCATGAGACCGCTCCTCCACCCCCACCCTGGCCCAAATGTCAAGGCTTAATCCCACCAAGCAGCACGGCCAAAAGACCCTGATGATCTTGGAAAAAGACAGAGAGAGAGGGAGCAAAGAAGAGGAACGAGGACAGAAGGAGAACGGGGCGGATGAATTAGGGGAAAACATGTGAGGGAAAGGGGGGGAAAAGCGAAAGAGGATGAGAGCACAAAATGAGAGGGGAGGAGAGGAATAAAAAGAGAAGGGGAATTGCATTAGAGAGTCGGGAGAAGTGTGGGGAGCATACGGTTGCACCCCCCTCTTCCTCATTAAGTCAGTCAATGTGACAGGAAGACTTATGTAACACCCCAGAGATGGAGGGAGGAGATGGAGAAAGAGTAACAAGGAGGAGGATGAAAGAGGGAGCAAGAGGAGCAGCTGTGGAGGAGGAGGAAGAGGGTGAGGAAGCGATTCAGTGGCAAAGAATTAGGAATGGGGCAGAAAGATAAAGGGGTGAAATTTGAGAAAGCGAGAACCTAAGACATTTAAACAGCAGATGCATGAAGAGAGAGAGAGATCGGGGACGGAGAGATAAAGAGGGAAAGATAAAAAAGCAATTGAAAGATCTACCGTGCCTTTTAGCATGGCTCTGCTGGCTTTACACTTTTCATTTGTTTTGTGGGGGAGAGATTAGCAAGAGGATTAAGAGAGCGATTCTCCCACTCCTCATTCTCTCTGTTTCCCTCTCTCCCTCTCTCTTTCTCCCTTACTCCCTCTTTCTCTCTCTCTGATGAGCACAGGCACATTTGCTCACTTACTCATGCATCACATACATGCAGAGTGTGCATGCCATGCATTAACAAGCTATATGTGCATGCAGTAAATATAATATTATAGGGCTAAAACTATTTTT